CTAGGGGGCAAGGTAAAGGAAATCTGCTCGCATGAGTGAAGACCGTCAATCCAAATGAGATACCGAAAGGTGAATCAAATGTCAAGTGCGAAGATCCAATCAAAACAAAGAGAAAAGAAGAAAAGAAAAAACAAAGAACAAAGAAAAAATCAAAGAAAAAAAACAAAAGAAAGAAAGAAAAAAAGATAAGAAGCACATGCAAAGATTCCCACGAGTCAAATGACACATCAAGCTTCAAACTATGAGATTGATCAAGCACAATCATTTCAGAATCAGTTTGCCAGACGATCATAGAACATCTAGAAAGACACATGCGAGTAGACTCAAATTGAGCAAGACATGATTGAAGGCATCAAAATGAATTAATCATTGGCTTAATTACCCGCAAACACTTGTTTGGGCCTATTTATCCCTTTCTTTCATAATTGTGAACCATGACCTACATTACGTGCCTTAAAAGTCCCTTCTAATCATACATGTATTTCTAAACAGAAGAGATTATCTTCAGATTTTATCCCGCTCTTCAGGATTAATCTTTTATTTACAAAAAGATTTTCTAAAATCTTTAATGCATGATAGAGAAAAAAATAACAAAGGGGGTTCAAGATGTAAATTTTGAATAACGTATTGAAACCAAAGGAGGATTCGAGTTGAAAACCTGAAAAGGCGGCTCGAATATAAAGACTATACAACTATTACATAGGAGGTGATCACACAAAACCCTTGATAATGCATCGCACAACCCGAATGTGATCGTGAAATATGGGAGTTGGAGAACAATTTCAGTAGAGGAGCATACAAGCTACTCCATCTAATTAGTGAGCATCAAAGAGACGAGAATACCAAACCTTTGACCAAAAATAACAACATGAGACATCTTATCCTCTCCTTACTTAACCATACCTCAAAGATAGCTTTAATCTTGACACTTGTCAAATAGCTATAATTTATTGAATGATTAAAAGTAAAATTAATTCTTTGATATCCAATGAACTCTTGTTTTATGATTTACCTCAATTTTAAAACCTAGAAAGGGACAAAATTTTCAAACTTTTGATTAAGTATTTTTCAATTGATATATTCATACTTTTAAAAAAATAAAAGAAGAAGAAAAATGTTTTTTTCAAACAAGACAATCTCTCTAGAGTAGATCTTGGTAGTTGACATGTGGCTTTAAGATATAATGCTCATGCTTAGAATCAGTGCTGAAGCAAGAAACGATGAATGATGGGGCATCTTTGGAGATTCAACATCGAATGTTGGGGAAACTTTGTGGATTCAACATCTTGAAGTGAACGATCAGATCTTCTGAAGGCCTTTCCTCTATCGGTAGGAACAAACAGACTATCGATCGCCTTTGAGATTGTTTCTCTCGAAATAAAGGGTCGTCTCACTTAAGACAAGTTTTCTTAAAAACAAATTTTGTCTCGCTTGAGACAATTTCTCTCAAAACAAATTTCGTCTCGCTTGAGACATTTTTCCTTTAAGATACAAATTTCGAGTTTGTTTCACTTGAAACAAAGTTGATCTCACTTGAGATTATTTTTCTCAAAACAAACTTTGTCTCACTTGGGACAGTCTTTCTTAAGAGAAACTTTGAAATTGTTTCTCTTGAAACAAAGCTTTGTCTCTCTTGAGACAAATCTTCTTAAAAAAATCTTTGAGTTTGTTTCACTTGAAACAAGTTTTGTCTCCTTTGAGACAGTTTCTTTTGAAACATAAATCTTTGTGTTTATTTCTCTTGAAACAAATTTTGTCTCCTTTTAGACAGTTTCTCTTGAAACATCATCATCTTTGAGATCATTTCCCTTGAAAAGATTTTTTTTTCTCTCTTGAGACAACTTCTCTTGAAGCATCATCTTTGAGTCTGTTTCCCTTGAAACAAATCCCTAAAGATAGCATGTCGTCCTCATCACGTAGGAACCATGTCATCCCCCGACCAGACCTCCTCATCACGTAAGAGCCGTGTCACCCCTAGATAACCAATCGTCCTCATCACGTCGGTACCGTGTTACCATCCCTAAAGATGGTCTGTCGTCCTTATCACGTAGGAACCGTGTCATCCACCGACCAGACCTCCTCATCACGTAGGAGCCATGTCACCCCTAGACAACCAGCCGTCCTTATCGCGTAGGAACCGTGTTATCACCTTCCCTAAAGATGGCATATCGTCCTCATTGCATAGGAACCATGTCATCCACCGACCAGATCTCCTTATCACGTATAAGCCGTGACACCCTTAGACGACCATAACTCTTCATCACGTATGAGCAGTGTCGTCCCCAACACAAATATATCAAATTTTTAAAACAAAAAAAAAAGAGAATTGGACAAGAACTAGTTGTCTTTTTCATCTTTGCCCTATTCTTGTTAACACAAGAATGTACAAAGAGGGGCAAAAGTAGACACCAATTTTTTTCCGGGTCGAAAAAATATTATTAATTGATTTATTATTATTATTTATTATTATTATTATTATTAATACATCTATTACATTTTGCAGGACAAAGCCCAATACAACCTGAGGCCCAACTGAGACCCACCAGCACCCAGAAACCCAAACCCAGATTACATCAGCCAAACCCAAACCAGCCCAGTAAACTAGGATTCGACCTGACCCGAAACCCTAAATAGATTAGGGTTTTCAAGCCATCGAGCCAGTCACCGCCTCTTGGCTTTCCAGCTCCCAGCCATGCGTGGACTTCACCGTCCAGCTCCCACCGACGCTTGAGCCGTCGTTAAGCCCCCAAGCCACTGTCGAACGTTTCCCGAGCCGTTCCCATAATCCACACTAACACACATCTATCAAACACCAAATCGGTTAGAAAAATAGAGAAAAATCATAAACAAGTACAAGCTATCCCAAGGCATATCAACCATATCTCACCGATGGCAGAAAGAGAACTAAAAGTCCATCAGTCACAAATCACATAGGGGAGATAAAAAGAAAGAGAGAATAGAAGACGGGGGGAACCATTCAGGCTTGAACAAGGAGAGAGAGAGAGAAAAATATCAAGAGATTCCGGGGGAAACCGAAAAAAGAAAAAATAGTGAAAGATTTTTAAAACATAAAAAAAACAAAAAAAACCAAGAAGAACCGAAAGAAAAAGAAAGGGAAAGGAAAGAAATACCCGAATTTGGAGATTCCAAAGGTCGCCGGAGCAGTCTTTTCGAAAGGTAATCATTAGATCTAGTGTGTTTGGGTCATTTTTAGGTTGAATTGGTTCAAGATATAGGCTGAGGGTGACGAGAGGGACCTTTAGGGAGTGCTTTATCTCTCTTACCAGCGTCGGCCGTTGTGAGCATCGTCGTGGGCGCCACCGACGGCGACGGTTGATACCCTCGCTGATGAGAGAGTTGAGAGAGTTCTTTCTCTCTCTCTCTCTCTCTGGTTTTTCTAAAATGAAGAGAAATGAGGGAGATGAACAAATTTAAACCTTGGTTGGGTTTAAATACCCACACGAAACAGTGTTGTTTTAGCACTCCTATTTTCTGTATTTTTTAGTTCAGGAATAACTACACTTTAGGTCCCCCTTCCCTTGTAATATCCTATTGGAGTCATTTAATAAAGTTTCACTTTATTCGATTTCGAGCACTTATGTTTCAATTCTTATATTTTAGTCAACTTATTACATATTGTGTATTGGTGTTAATATTTGATTTTGGTCATGACATTTGTAAATCTTCTATTTTAGTCCCTGCTCAATATTTGGTTCAATTATTGTTTAGTTCTTTATGTTTCTAGTTCATTTAATTTAAGTCCCTAATGTTATTAATGGATTATTTACATTTCCAGCAGCTATATTGTTTAATATATTCTATATTAGATCTGGTTTATTTATATTTTAGTTTACCCCTTTAACTTTTTGTTTTTGCTATTTTAGTCTCTTAAGTTTCTATTTTTGCTATTTTAATCCTTTAAGTTTTTGTTTTTGCTATTTTAATCCTTTAAGTTTCTGTTTTAGCTATTTTAGCCTTCAAGTTTGGTTAAATATCATTTTGGTCCCTAAAATTATCCTATGTGCTTATTTTGTTTGTATTTTGGGTTGTAATGTTTACTTATTTTTATTTTAGTCATTTATGTATGAATATTTTACATATAATGTAGTTATTTGTAAACATATATATATATATATATATTATTGGTTCTATTTATTGTATATGTTTTATTTCGTATTTTTCCATTTGTGTTTGTTTCCAGGGTTTTTTTATTTATTTGTTAATATTATCCGAATTGTTTCAAGAACAGGTATGCGTAGAATGGGCGTGGAAAGTATTACTTGATCGAAGTGGTACAATCTGATACGACGTTCGAACGAAATGAGACTTGAAATAAATCTAGGTTATTTTATTATTTAAATATTTTATGTGGATGATTCAATGTGTTTTTATTAATTTATCATTTTACGCAAATGTCAATTTTCAATTTATATTCGATTCGTGTTTTATCGAAGATGGAATATTCTTTACTGATAAGAAATAGTCGAGATAGTTTTCCCGACGGATGATTGTCAATCTCGAGATCTCTTTTTAAGTTAAAGAATTTTCTTTAATTAATAATTCAAAGCAAATTAATTAAATTTCAATAAATGGATCATAATTTAACTTTATATTCGATTTATGATTTTCATCATTTACGACGATATGTAAGCGACACAATACCAATTTTTGGTGTTGTGGGGTGCTAATCATTCCTCACGCGTAATCGACTCCCGAACCCATTTTAATCGAATCTTTGTAAACGCAAACCAGCTTTTTATCTTAAAACGAATTTTTTAAATTGTTTTTAAAAGACGTTTTTAGTTATTCGACCTACCTAACCCAAAGGTCGATCGACTCCTTTTTCAATTTAATCCAAATTAATTCCAAGTCACCAAATTTTCAAATAAAATTCATAATTGTTTTTAAAAAATAATATTTAATTGTTTAAAATAAATGGTTATTACACCCGTTATTGAAATAATAATTTCCAAACTGAAAGAAAGAAAGAAAGAAGACAACGTAATCCAGACAAGACACTCCTCAGAAAAATAAAAATTGCAAAGGGAAAATAACTATTCAAGGTTTTCAGCCTTAGTAATTTATATTTTACGTAATATAACGGCATATTCTGTTCTTGCTCTTCAACCTGATTAGATTTGAGGCTGGGACACCTGCAATCGTTGAGGCAATTGGATTAGGGGCTGCAATTGATTACTTGTCTGGGATTGGTATGCAGAAGATTCACGACTATGAGGTGAGTTACAATTTTTGCTGTCTGCACGTTTTGTTTCTTCATCATAAAGGAAAAACCATTCGTTTACGCTTAACGTGTTAGATTACTGATTAATGCACCATGGACATATAAAATACCCACCATATTTGTTGGCTTTATAAATTAAAAGGAAGAAACCTGGTACAAACTATTTGCTTACAAATACTTAAGTAAGCCTTTGTTAGGTTATGCTATGGTTGTTAATCTATCTTTGAGATTTTTGTCGACTAAGTTTATGGTGTGGAATGGTTGAAACCATTCATCCCTTTAACATCTCTTAAATAAGCGTTTATACTTTTATTTCTGTATACTAGTCCGTCCCTAGATAAAGGGGTAAAGTTCAAGGTTTTTTTTTTATATTAATTTATGGGATTTATTGGAACGATACATTATCTGATTGGATGGTATTATTTTTTTAGTTTATTTTGGGAAACGAGGCGCTAGATCAATTTAAAAGCCACTTTCTGATAAGCTGTACAATTTTTTTATTCTTACAATGTAATTCTGATTTTGTAGATGGAGCTGGCCAATTATTTATACGAAAAACTTTGTTCTGTTCCGAATATTCGGATCTATGGTCCAAAGCCTTCTGAAAACATTCACCGTGCTGCTCTTTGTTCTTTCAACGTCGAGAATATTCACCCTACAGATCTTGCAACTTTCCTTGACCAACAGGTAGGATAATAAATAAAGAATAGTAGTATAATACTGTAGTTTTCCCCCCTCTTATCTGTTTTGTTAAGATTGGTTTGCCATTTGTGGTTAGTTCCGAAAACTGCCGATGAAATACTATGATAGCTGCCTAATGAAATATTATGATTCGGGACAAAGATTGGGAGCCACTTAAATAACTTGTAGGGTCAGAATTTATGGCTGAAACCAAACTTTGGGATGCAAATTCGGTAATCGTTTGTAGTCTATATGAGTAATTCCCAAAACGATGTTTTTATATTGAATTCTATTAGAGTTTGTGATCCGAATTCTGCTTTGATTTGGTCCGAAAAATTCACCGTGCAACCCGCCTGGAACTCAAGGAATTAACCCTACAAATGAGATAGGGATTAGTTGTTTAAGGTGTTCGCATAGAGAGATTGTGAGGTGGTTTATGCTATTACAAATCCTCTTGTATTTTGTTGTTTTCAACATTTAGCGAATTTTCTCCTCTACCCGTGATTTTTCTACATAAATTTGTGTGATTTAATGTTTCTATTTTATTGCCGTTTTCTTCCTCATATTCCTAAAAGATTCAACTTATTTTGTTGAATCCCAGCATGGGGTGGCTATCAGATCAGGTCACCATTGTGCTCAGCCTCTCCATCGCCACCTAGGAGTCAACGCGAGCGCACGGGCAAGCCTTTATTTCTACAATACCAAAGAAGATGTTGATGAGTTCATCCGGTCGCTCAGTGACACGGTCAGCTTCAAGTAGCCAAGTTGTTTTCCACATAGTATCGTGTCTACCATTCCTGTGTACTACATGAAAGCTTATGGCGAGTACATGTTACACAGTTAATCAAATTTACAAGTGTTTGGTCTGTTTGGTGTTTGAGAAATTATTGTGTAACAAGTCGGTCAACACATGCCCAGAATCTATACATTTTTTTCCTGGTTGATATGGAAAGACTCAATTTATGAATTGGTTTTTCAGATAAAATATATAATATCAAAAAGTAACATGAACATGATATGATACATATAAATATTCAAGGTGTGTCCAATGTGCGGCTAATGAGGTTGGCAAAAGTTGAGGCTTGTATTTAATTTGGGGTCTATCATGTGCAAGTGTCATGTGTAAGCTTATTTTAATTTAAGTCGAGTTATATATGAGTTCTATTCAAAATTAAGTCAAGTTTATTTTAATTTAAGTCAGTTTATTCGTTTGTATTTTATAATTATATAAATGCATTGATATTTTTTGTATTTTTATTTATGAATTGTATCGATTAATTTGTTGTACCCATAGCCCATATAGATGTATTATTAGGAATTATAATTACAAATATATATATATATATATATATATAATATAAATAATTAACTAATCAAAGTTTATACAAATACAAAATATTTTAAACATGATTAATGCAAGAGAAAATATAAAAGATAACACATAATTTTATGTATCAAAACCCAAAAGCAATGACTAATGTAATTTCGAATATTTACAATCTAACTTGATGTGCAGGTATAAATCTTGAATCCTAAATGAATTTGCTTTAGCTGAATGTAGGACAATAAACCTTAACCCACACACATAATCATGAGAGTGCAGATAATTGGAAAGAGTAAATTTCACCCATTTGTCAGTGTTGATAAGGTAGACCGAGTGAATGTGTGGTTCACATGCAACGCATATTTTTGTGCATTTACTCTACTTGCTCGTTTTCCTACGTCTTGTCCGAAGAAGACAAGTGAATGGATTGGATAATAGATTTCCTATTTTCATCATGGAAAGGGTAAGAATTAGCTGCCGACAGCCGACCTCTAAACTCATCTCTATCTGAGTTTGTTGACCGGTAAGGTAGACAACAATCGTAAAAGATAATCACACGACAATTTTAGTCGTAGTTTTGGAAATTATGGTGGAGTGTGTTAACTTGTGGTGAAGAAAAATATATCCCTCTATTTAGTTTTACATTATTCTTTATAATGTTTTCGACATGTGTCTATTAATAATTATTGTGGCAATAGTTTTGATTAGACGTTTTAGAAAATTATTGTATAAAATTGTAGACACATTTTTCTGACCAAATTAGAAGCATGCATATATATATATATATATATTATGTATATATGTGTATTATTATTTTATTAACAAACATTTTTATTTACAGGCCCAAAGATCATTTACAAGACCGAGGCCCATTACAAGGCTGCCCAACTACACAGTAGCCCAAATTACACACCCAACAGAACAACCCAGAAGCCCAACTGCACACGCGACCCGAACCTGGGTTCAGGACCCGCGAACCGAACTCGAACCAGCCCCACAACCCGGTCCAGTTAGGGTTTGCAACCCTAGATGTCTATCTCTTCTCAGCGCCGCAACAGGGGATCCATTCCAGCCGCTCCGATTTTCACGGCACCTACACCACCAATTTTCATGGACACAAGGACTCTCAACGAACCGAGAATAAAGGAGACCTTTGAATTTTAGTAGGAGTCTAAAACAAACCAAAAATAGCATATTTTTGTAACTATAAATAAACCCAACACTAGCACAGAGAGGACATTCGGAAATTACCAGAGAAACATAAGAAATACGGAGGAAACACACAAGGATACACGAAAAATACGAGAGAAACAAAAGATTCGGTTGGAGGGAACCGAACAAAAATCGAGAGATCGAGTAAAAAAACAGAGAACACAGAAAGACTCACCTTCTTCTTCAAACGGTCGATCATCTTGCCTTCATCGGAGCCAAAGTTTTCATTTTTCGAAGGTAATCATTCGAACCCTATTAGACTTGGAGTGAGGGTTTAGTTTTTAGAGAAGTGTTGAACTCCATTTTGGGTCTCTGTGTTTCAAGAGCCCGAGAAAAATGGCCAGTAGAGAGTGGACTAAAGAGAGACGGTGAACATCAGAAAAGGCAAATAGTCTTAGGGTTACAAAACCCATCTTTTGGCCTTTGTGAAAGCATTGCACGATATCATAAGAAAAATGAGGGGTCTCTTATGTCCACCTGGACTTTGCTATGGAATACACGTTTTAAAGACTTTTAATTCTCGGTTAATTGGCTCGAGATGAACGTGGAATGATTAGTGTCTGTACTCTTAACTTTATTTTTTATGACATATATTGGTAAAGTCAAATTATTAATTAAATTGGGTTAAGTTTGCATACAAAGACGTGTTGGTTTGTGAATTTCCTTTGATGTTTTTAATTTGGTCATGTTATTTTTAAGTTTTTTTATTTTAGTCATTGTTTTGTATTTGGTTTAATTATTATTTCAATCCTATAAATATTTGATTGTTTCTGTTATAGTACTTTAATTTTCTGTTTTTGATATTTTAGTCCTTTAACCTTTTGTTTTTGCTATTTTGATCCTTTACATTTTTATTTATTTATTTAATTTATATATATATATATATTATCTTTTCTATTTTTAATTTACTATTTTCCTTATTTCTTTTAACATTGTTTTTTATATATTTTTTGTCTTTTTTACACTTTTATATTTTTTAGAGACTGAATATTTTTCTTTATTTTTACTTTTATTTTTTTCTTCTTAACATTTTTATTGTTATTTTATCAATTTATTTATTTATTTTTCTTCTCTTCGATTTATGTAATATTTATTTTTCAATTTAACTTTTTTTTTTACCTTTTTTAGGGGTAATTTCAATCGATCAACGATAATTATTTTGAATTGAATTTTTAAATTTAAATTTTAAACAATTAAAGACAAGCGAGAAATTAATTGGTACCGAAAGGGCAATGCAAGGGTGCTAATTCTTCCTTGACTGTAACCGGCTCTTGAACTCGACACATTTTTGGTAAAATGCAGATCAGGTAAGATGGTGTCCGATCTACCTAAAATTTGTTTTAAAATGATCGGTGACGACTCTAACCCATTTTTTCAAGTCAAAGCCCAATTTAGGGTCTAACCGAAAGACGATCGTGACAAAAATAAGGATAAATTACGTCATTATTATTCTCTTTCTTATTTTACTCATCGTACTTTTAATTTTTCTATTTTTGTTCACTAAACTTTACAAATTGAATCATTTTGCTCACTCTGTCGTTAACTTTCCAACGGTATGATGATATTTCATTTTTTAGTATTTAATATAAAATTAATAAAAATATAAAGGGAAAAATACTTCATTTCTCACCGAACTTTATTATCTCTTCTATTTTGTTCACGAAATTATAAAATAAAAACAAAAGGTGGTTGGATGCATCCGCCGGCCAACGTGCCGTAGATGGTGGTCGTTCGGTCACAAATTTTATGGGTCGTTTCGCCTCGACACCTTGAGTTTGAATCCAACCTTTATTTTTTCGGAACTTGTTCAAAATTCCATGAATCGGAGTTTGAAAGTGAGAAAGCCAAAAAGTTTCAGTTGAGATTCACAAATTTTGGGATATTTTTCGGTGAATCAACCACTAGATTTGGATTCAAGGGATGAAGACGAATTGACCTATGAATTTTGGGACCAAATTGCCACCATCAACGACGATCGATAGTGGTCGAAATGAAAAATGACATGGTGGTTGGTGACGACAACAGGGAGAAAGAAGATAATTAAAAATGACGACGTTTTGGTGTATATTTGAGTTTTTCAAAATGATGTCGTTTTGATGTTTGTGCCATGTCGTCACACTGTTAAAAAGTTGACGGAAGAGCGAACAAAATGATTCAATATGTAAAGTTTAGTGAGTAAAATAGAAAAACTGAAAATACGATGACCAAAATAAGAAAGAGAATAAAATTCAGTGAATAATAGTATAATTTACCTATAAAATAATTAGTCGTCAAAATCTCGTGTATGAGTACTTAGTTACTAATGATTAGCTTATAAGTTGTTTGCTAAGAACTTGCTATCGATGACTTCTGTGTATCATTCTCTTCATGTTTTCTCTTTCTAAATTTAGCCGGGAATTACGTTACTGTCTACATGCAGAGATTTTTACACAGGGACTTATTTGCAGGGATTACTTCCCATTACAGACGCACATATGAAAATTGCATATGATGATTGTTCAACTATGTATTTATTAATTTATTTATTTATACATGCATTGGATTTTTATCTTTATTTTTTAATTTTTCTAACTGCCGGAGGTCTTCTACGGAAGCTGTCCTCAACCGGGCGTTGGGGGCAGCCTACTACCCTACCTCCCCTTACCCTATTACATATGAAAATAGGGTTTTGTTGTTGTTGTTTGCTAAGAAAAATTATTATATGGTCCGACTTATCATAGTCTCAATTAATAATAATTTTATATTTCATTTTTTTCAAGGTGATTTTTTGTTTCTTTTTTACGTACAAATAAAAAGTGGACGGTTGTTTAAAAATTATTTTAAAATTTGTAAATTTCGTTTACTGGGATCATATATAACATAATGAGTCGGGACTATGAAATAATTTCTCATTCACGAGATTATAGACGAATACACGTGTTTGCCGGTAAATGTTAGTTATAGATACCCGTAAGGCCCCGTTGGAATGGAATCCTCATTCCCCAGTTTGGTTGGCCGATAATCTTATTCCCGGTAATCTTGTATTACCAACAATGAATTTTTTGGGTATATTACCGGGAATGTGATTACCTTCATTCCCTTAGGTATTGTTGGATTCCCAGCATTTTTGACTAAAATGCCCTTAATTTTTTTTCTCAAAAATATCATTCTTCTTTCGTTGAATAATAAAAATTCTACGAAGGTTAAATTACAAATTTATTCTTAAACTATTTTAGATTTATAAAAAAATCTATAATTATAATTTTATATGAAGTTCAGAGGTTCAAATAAAATTTTACCCTTTCATTAAACCTATTTATATTTTCAATTTTGTAAAAAAATTATATAAATTTTATGAATTTAAAATTTTTAAAGAAAATATATAAATTAATTATAGTAATATTATAGTAGAATTCAACTTGTTAAAAAACAAATATATAATAAGAACAATTTGGTAAAATATACATTTCAATAATCTTTTATTCCTTTAACCAAACACGGTAATCTTACATTCATGCTAAACCAACCAAACACAAAATACAACATTTCCAGTAAACCTATTCCCTGATAATCTTTTATTCTCATCGGTAATCTTACTATGAACCAAACGCGCCCTAAGTTATAAGTTGGCATAATTAGAGCTAAAACTCACGAGATATTGTTGTGAAAAAAACAATTCACGTGATAATGTTGTCCAAGAAATAATTGTTTAAATGGTGTGAATTATACAGTGCATGGATTGGTCGCCATGCAAGCCAAACGAGATCATAGGTCGCCATACACTCGGTGCGACCTTGTAGGTCGCCATGCAAGCGACTCGAACTCCTCCGTGATTCTGCTGAAATCACAAAAAAGGTGGCTCTGCCTCCCTCACCCCTGTCTCCCTCATGCATGCAGCAATGAAATCACGACAAAAGTGTTCTATACGAGCTGTGGCGAGAGGATGAAGCTTTGCTACGAGCTGTGGTGAGAGGATGAAGCTTTGCATGCGCCATGCACGTCGGAAGAGGTCGCCATGCACGTCGGAAGAGGTCGCCTGCATGCAGTGGGGAGCAGGCGAGAATACAGCGGGGAGCAGGGCGCAGGACAAGGTCGCCCAGTGTGTATGGAGACCTACCATTTCGCCTGGCGTGCATGGCGACCTACAAGGTTGCCTAGCAACCTATGCTGGGAAGCTGCCACGCCGTAGGTCGCCCGGAAGGCATGGCGACCTACGGCCAACATTGTATAATTCGCCTTATTTGAGCAATTAATCTTGGGAGTACGTTATATCGTTAAATAAAAAATTCGAGGACATTATCTCATAAGTTTTGCCCATAATTAGGATTCATATGGGTCATGGCAGGGTGTAACAAAGCTAATTATATGATACAGAGACATTGGAAAAGCTTAAACTTAAGAAAGTGGCGGACATTGAAGAAGAGAGTAAGATGGAGGGGATTCAGCACAAAACAGTGAGTGTCAACGGCATAAACATGCACGTTGCAGAGAAAGGGGAAGGCCCACTCATTCTCTTCCTCTATGGCTTCCCCGATCTCTGGTGCTCATGGCGTCACCAGATCACTGCTTTAGCCGCTCTCGGCTACCGTGCCTTGGCCCCCGACCTCTGCGGCTACGACAGAACCGATGCTCCGGTTTCAATCTCTGACTACACTTGCTTCCAAGTGGTGGGGGACCTCATTGCGCTGTTGGACGCGGTTGCGCCGCCGGAGAAGGAGGACAAAGTTTTCATCGTGGGTCATGATTGGGGAGCCATCATCGCTTGGTACTTGTGCTTATTAAGACCGGACCGAGTCAAAGCTTTGTTCAATATAAGTGTGTCGTTTCTTCCTTATAATCCCAAGGCCAAACCGGTCGAGACCTGGAAAGCTTTATTTGGAAATGACTATTACATCGTCCATTTTTAGGTTCTATTATAATATGTTTTTCATTAAAGGTTTAATTATATAATATTTAAATTTAATTACATTGATCCGTCAATTACGTTTTTGTTTTATCTATTTTTTAATGATTTTAAAGACATGATATATGATATTTTATTTTTATTTAATTAATGTATGATCGACACAGATTAATTATCTTTAAATCATTAATGATTTAAAGAGCTGATACGATAATTAAAAAAATAATATTTTTTTATATTTTATATTTTTAATCTTTTTTTAATCATCATTGATTGATTTTATAATATTCTTAGTGTTTTTTCATTTTCTTTTTAAGATTTTAATAGAGGTTAGGTTGAGACAGGTTACTAGGGTTTCAGAAAATCAATTTGGCTTTATGCCAGACAGGTCTACTACGGAGGCGATTCATCTACTTCGACGGCTTATGGAGAAATATAGGGAAAAATATAGAGATCTTCACATGGCATTCCTTGACCTCGAGAAGGCGTATGATAGCGTTCCCCGCGATACGATCTGGAAGACCTTGGAAACGAGATGGATCTCAACTGCTTATATCTGGGCAATTTGTGATATGTACTATAGATCTACTACATATGTCAGGACTACAGTTGGCGACACTGAGGCATTCCCGGTGGATATCTGATGTTAGTTGAACTACACGCTTTGGTGAAGAGAGTAGATAGCCTTAGTGTGTTCCGATCTAGGATTGACAAGTACTGATGTCCTTGAATTAATAAGCTTAGGCTACAATAAAATAATAAAGAAATATGATTAATGATGGGTTTAAGAAATGGATAATACTATAAGTAATGGAAATGAAAAAAAATGAAATAAAGATAGGATAGAGATGTCTGCGGAATTGATGGTCTTGATGGATGATGTTGATGGCATTGATGATGAAATGGAGATGGTGATGATGTTGTATCTCAAGCACGCCAAAGAGGAAACAATGCTAGGAAGCACAATCCCGTTCTTCAAAAACTTGCTTGAGGGGTGGTGATAGTGTCTTCAACCCACTAGATATTAATCTAGGAATTTTGGAATCAGGATGGAAGGAATGACGCCACAAGTATATGAATTATACTTGTTTAATCGATAAAGTTCACAAAGAACTTTGAAGAGAAATTAACTCACAAGAGTATTTTTTATATGAGTACAAATGATGGCAAGCCACTCTATTTATAAGAAATGAGAGGGCTTGGCCGAATGGTTACATAGCTATTCGGTTGATACATGGCTTTTAATGAAAGTACATAATGCTAAAAATGAATGAATGAGTCTTTTGGGCTTGTGATGGTTCGGCTAACCCTTCATGAAGGGGCTTGATGATTCGGCTAAGGATGGGAAGATATCTCCCTTGGTCGAATAGTGATGTATCTCCTCATGTTGGCGCCAAAAGCTCTCATGTGCATGGCATGTGTGTGGCCGAATTGGCATAGAGCTTTATATCATGTCCCTTGGTGTTTTAAGCCTCCAATGGTTGCAATTTCTTCACCAGCATGCTCTTAGATGTGAAGGCATCTTCATGGGCAACATCATTAATGAAAGGTCACAATGTTTGGGAAAGGTAACCCTTCATATTTGAGCTACTTATGGTGTGAATGAGCTGGAGATGAGATGGCCATAGATGACCTGTAGCATGGGGAACGTTATGGCAACTCCTTGTGAAAAGGTACCTCTTGAGGTGGCAACTATTCGCGAAAAGGTACGATTTCATAAATTTTGACTTAGGACATATTTGAAGTGTCCTAAGTGGTAATGATGATGGTGTAACTCCCCAATTGAAATGAGGTTATCTTGTAGCTCAAATCTTCATCTCAATCTAGATATGAGCTCATAGCCTTTAGACAACTTTTCACCAATTTGCTCCGTATGCTCACCTAATCGTTCCCATGTAAGTTTCCTTGTTGTTGCATGCTCCATTTAGCTCCAATGTAGTGCCTAAGTATTGGTCGAATATGCCTACATGCATAACATAAAGAAATAAATTAAGTATATAAACTTATATAATGTATAATATAAGAATGTGGACTATAGTATATTATAATAACTTATATCTCACATATTAATGGATAAGTTATTATCATAATAACTATAGATATAATATATATAGATGAAAATAACTATATTAAAACTTTTGAAATAAACATATATGTGTGTAAAGTTAGAAACTTTCTTCCCTTGTAAGGGTTGAATAGCCATTGAAAACATGATGTTGAATTGGATCACATCATCCTCCCCTTCTTTTAATCGATATGTCCTTAAATCGAAAGATCTTCTTCTTCTTGAGTCCTTCCATTCGATAAGTACCTTTATAAAAAGGTTCATATCTTTTGAAAGAATGTCTTGGAAGTTCCTGATCTGAAAAGAAAGAAAACTTTTATTAGAAAAAATGTGATCGAAAAAAATTAAAGTTAAGAAATACTTCCTTTAAAATGTAGGTTCAAAGTTCATGTATATTGAAGACATTTGGCTTTGAACGTTGGTGTCCTTTTGCATTCTATAAATCATGCCCCTTTGTTCTTCAATAGATATATGCATTGATTCATGAAAGGTGATGACTCTTGGAATGTTGATATCCTCATAAGTTACGCCTTTTGGATGAAGAATCGCTTCCCTTTGGTTTTCATTAGGCATAACTCTTGATTCTTGAAAGATCAGGTCCTTTGGATGAAGAATTACCACTCTTTGCTTTTTAATAGTCGCACCTCTTGGCTCTTGAAAAGTCACATCCTTTAGTTCATTAAATTGATGGATTGTGTCGCTTTGATCATCATGCAAATCAAAGGAAACTCCTGTATGGTTAAGGTTAGAAAAATCTTCATCAACTTTGCGTTTTGTCAATAAACATCTTTGTAACAAGCACTTAGATGTATAAGCACTTGTTTTTGGACTAGTTTCCTCCTGGCTTAACTTCGATTTTCCTTTTCTCATGGCCTCAACACTTTGTTTCATCTTCATTTGATCAATTTGGACTTGTTTAGGCATCAAGGGTGTTAGAATGATCTTCTTTCCTCCATGGTTGAACGAATACTGATTGGTAAAACAATCATGAATGGTCCTCCTATCATATTGCCATGGTCTTCCAATGATTAAATGGCTAGCATGCATAAGAACAACATCACACATAACCTCGTCATTGTACTTACCAATTGAGAAAGGAACCATCACCTGTTTGTTGACATTAAGTTCTCCTCGTTCATTTAGCCATTGTAATTTGTAAGGATTTGGGTGCTTCAATGTTTTTAATCCTAATTTCTCCACCATAATGGTACTTGCCACATTGGTACAACTCCACCGTCTATGATAATGAAATACACCTATTCATTCACATAGCAGCGGGTATGAAAGATGTTTTCCCGTTGTGCATTGTCTTCTACCATTTGAGTACTTAGACTTCTTTTGACCAATAGGGCTTCACCTTCCACGGGATCACCAATTTCGGCTTCTTCTTCAACTTTTATTGGTGGTGTTTCTTCTTCTTCATGGTCAGATTCAATCTCACCATTTCCATGTAGTAACATGGTGTTTCAGTTGGGACATTGTGTGGATACATGCCCCCTCCCAATACATTTAAAACACTGGAAGTCTCTTGATCGTTCAGGGATCTATTTTCCTCGAATATCCTTGCTGGGTTGAGAAGCATTTGATGATTTGGCCTTTTCCTTGATATGAGTAGGAGTAGACTTCTTCAAATTGTTAGGACTACATCTTGAAGGCATGGTAGTGCGAGGTATAGATCTTCTCCGTAGTTGCCTCTCTATTTTTATAGCCATTTGCATCATTCCATCAAGTTCTATGTAATGGTATAACTCTAGTGTGTTGGCAATCTCGGGATTGAGTCCAGCAAGAAATCTAGCCATGGTTGCTTCACAATCCTCCTCAATATTGACTCGGATCATTGCCACTTCCATTTCTTTATAATAATCCTCTACACTCCGTTGGCCTTGCTTCAGGTTCTGCAATTTCTGAAACATATCCCGGTGATAATGAGTAGGAATAAAACGTTTACGCATGATACCTTTCATTTCAAGCCATGTTGAGATTGTTCTCTCTCCATTCCTCCTTTGGGTAATAGTAAGTTGATCCCACCATATCAAAGAATAATCGACAAACTCTATGGGTGCCAATCTTACTTTCTTGAGTTCGGAATAATTGTGGCAACTAAAAACATGTTCCACCTTGCTTTCCCATTCAAGATATGCTTTTGGATCACTTTTTCCTTGAAATTGAGGAATCTTGATTTTTATGTTGCTCATGTTATCATCAACATTGTCACGCCTAGTTCCTTGTATCAATGATGGTTCTTCTTTATCATAAGGATCTAGGACATCAATTTTTTGAAGAGGTTGTTGCCTTCGAGGAGTATCATTGTTTTGAGTTAGTGGTTGATCTTGTCTTTGGTCTAATTTTTCATAAAGATAATCAAATTATGTTCAAAACATTCTCATCATTTCTCCAATTAGTGCTTGCATTTGCAAATTGGGTTGACCTATATTTCCTTTAGGACTTTGAGATATGGTTAGTAGATAAATAAATAAAAACCTTACCAGCACACTCACAAAGCCTCTCAAAATTCACTCCAAAGAAATGATAAGATCACTCCACTCAACACTCGTGTTTACTCTCGGGAATATATCTTGGCTTTTAACAATTCCCCTTCTGATCTCACTCTCTCAATAGCTTTTTTCCACTCAATTTTTGTTGCTAAGTCCTTTAAGGAACTTACTCAAGATTATAACAAGTTAATTCTTTCCTTGTGTGCGTCGGTTGTAATTAAGGTTAGGGTAGAAAGAAATAGAATAAATGGAAAGGTAGAAGAAATGAATTAAAGTATTAAAAGAAAAAATGGTTGAAGACAATGAAAATGAAGGTATAGAAAAGGAAGAGGTGACTTACAATTCAAGAAACAACACTTACTGCAACCTTTCTCAAGAAACAATAAGGTTATATTCTCTTAGTATAGATGACATCTTTGATGTATTTGCAATGGTAGAACACTTTCCTTGGCTTGCTTTCTCTTTTTGAATTTTCTTATTCTTTTCTTCTTTACTGAATTTTCTTATTCTTTTCTACTTTTCTGAATTTTCTTCTTCTTCTTTTTGTCTTTTCTTTTCTTTTTGCACTCCAATTTTGTTGAAGGAGCTTTTTTCTCTTTTGAACTTCTTTTTACTTTGCACGCCAATGACACTTTTGTTGTCAATCCAACTATGCTCTGATTATCGCTTGATGTAGGCTGAACTACACACTTTGATGAAGAGAGTAGATAGTCTTATTGTGTCCCGATCTAGGATTGACAAGTACTGATATCCTTGAATTAATAAGCTTAGGCTTAAGAAATGGATAATAATATAAGTAATGGAATTGAAAAAAATGAAATAAAGATAGGATAGAGATGGATGCAGAATTGATGGTCTTGATGGATGATGTTGATGTTGTTGATGATGAAATGGAAATGGTGATGATGTTGTATCTCAAGCACGCCAAAGAGGAAACAATGCTAGGAAGCACAATCCCGTTCTTCAAAAACTTGTTTGAGGGGTGGTGATAGTGTCTTCAACCCACTAGATATTAATCTAGGAATTTTGTAATCAGGATGGAAGGAATGACGCCACAAGTATATGAATTATACTTGTTTAATCGATAAAGTTCACAAAGAACTTTGAAGAGAAATTAACTCACAAGAGTAATTTTTATATATGAGATGAGATGAGTACAAATGATGGCAAGCCACTCTATTTATAGGAAATGAGAGGGCTTGGCCGAATGGTTACATATACATGGCTTTTAATGAAAGTAAATAATGCTTAAAATGAATGAATGAGTCCTTTGGGCTTGTGATGGTTCGGCTAACCCTTCATGAAGGGGCTTGATGATTCGACTAAGGATGGGAAGACATCTCCCTTGGTCGAATAGTGATGTATCTCCTCATATTGGCGCCAAAAGCTCTCATGTGCATGGCATGTGTGTGGCCGAATTGGCATGGAGCTTTATATCATGTCCCTTGGTGTTTTAAGCCTCCAATGGTTGCAATTTCTTCACCAGCATGCTCTTAGATGAGAAGGCATCTTCATGGGCAACATCATTAATGAAAGGTCACAATGTTTGGGAAAGGTAACCCTTCATGTTTGAGCTACTTATGGTGTGAATGAGCTGGTGGTGAGCTGGCCATAGATGACTTGTAGCATGGTGAACGTTATGGCAGCTCCTTGTGAAAAGGTACCTCTTGAGGTGGCAACTATTCGTGAAAAGGTACGATTTCATAAATTTTGGCTTTGGACATATTTGAAGTGTCCTAAGTGGTGATGATGATGGTGCAACTCCCCAGCTGAAATGAGGTTATCTTGTAGCTCAAATCTTTAGCTCAATCCAGCTATGAGCTCACGACCTTTAGACAACTTTTCACCAATTTGCTCCGTATGCTCCCCTAATCATTCCCATGTAAGTTTCCTTATTGTTGCATGCTCCATTTAGCTCCAATGTAGCTCCCAAGTATTGGTCTAATATGCCTACATGCATAACATAAAGAAATAAATTAAGTATATAAACTTATATAATGTATAATATAAGAATGTGGACTATAATATATTATAATAACTTATATCTCACATATTAATGGATAAGTTATTATCATAATAACTATAGATATAATATATATATATATATGAAAATAACTATATTAAAACTTTTAAAATAAACATATATGTGTGTAAAGTTAGAAAGTTTCTTCCCTTGTAAGGGTGGAATAGCCATTGAAAACATGATGTTGAATTGGATCACATCAATATCGGACTCCACCAGGGGTGGGCTCTTAGCCCTTACATTTCGCCTTGATTATGGACGACATCTATTGTGCGACACCAGACGGTGTACCATGGTGTATGCTTTTCGCTGACGACATTGCCCTAGTTGCTGAAACAAAAACTGAGCTGAATAGTAGACTAGCTACCTGGAAGATTGCTTTGGAAGAAAAAGGTCTAAGAATCAATATTGAAAAGACAGAGTATTTATGTTCAAACTTCAGTGGGAACCAAAACGATGAAGATGTAGAAGTATGCATAGAAGGACACGTTCTCCCCTCAAAGGATTATTTCAAGTACCTAGGGTCTATGATACATAAAGATGGGGGTGTAGATGATGGGGGTGTAGATGATGACGTTACACACCATATAAAGGTGGGATGGCTAAAGTGGAGGGCTGCTACTGGAGTTTTTTGTGACAAGAAGATGCCTGTAAAACTTAAGGGAAAATTTTATAAAATGGCAATAAGACCAGCGCTGCTGTATGGATCAGAATGTTGGGCAATCAAGAAGGATCACGTAAAGAGGATGGAGGCCGCAGAAATGAGAATGCTTCAATGGGTATGTGGTAGGATTATGTGGGACATGACACCAAACTCTGCTATTAGGATGTCCTTGGGGTGGTGTCTGTATCCAAAAAATTGAGGGAGGGAAGACTACAGTGGTTTGGGCATGTCCTTAGGCGACAACCATCGGATGCGGTCAGGAGGGTAGAGTCGATTACAGTCGACGATGCCAGAAGGAAAGGACGACCAAGGCGGAAGTGGTAAGACTGCTTGAGATCTGATTTGATGGATTTAACCCTTACCGAGGACATGACCTCTAATAGGAAAGTATGTAAACTTAAGATCAGGGTAGCCGAGTAGTGCGGGTCACATCCTTAGGGTGTATCATCTCTGTCTTCTTTTAATGCCTTTGTAGTAATTTCCATGACTTCTACTTTTTATACGTTTCTGTCATTGGAATTTATGAAGGCTTAGAACTAGGGTAGCGGAGTAGGGTTGCCTTAGTTTAGGTTTTTAACCCATTTGGCTTTATTCCTTCTCATAGCTGGCTACCGTTGACTTCTGTGTATCATTCTCTTCATGTTTCCTCTTTTAAATTTAGTTGGGTCTTACGTTTCTGTCTACATGCAGAGATTTTTACGCAGGGATTTATTTGCAGGGATTACTTCCCATTACAGACGCGCATATGATGACTGCATATGAAGACTGTTCAACTATGTATTTATTTTATTTATACATGCATTGCATTTTATCTATATTTTTAATTTTCTGACTGCCGGAGGTCTTCCACGGAAGTTGCTCTCAACCTGCCGTTGGGGGCAGCCTACTACCCTACCTCCCCTTACCCCATTGCATATGGGAATAGGGTTTTGTTATTGTTGTTGTTACTTTGGGATTTGAAGAAAAATATTTTAAAGGTGATTTGTTTTAGGGATTTGAAGAAGATGAATAATTGGTGATACTATTTTATTTTACGTTTATATCAGTTATTTTTATTTTTTTATATTTAATCCATATATATAATTTACATGAAAATGATGTATTTTTATTTTATTTAATTATCGTACCATCTTAGTAAACTATTAATGATCTAATAGCAATTAATTTATAATGACTATATTTTAATTAAACAAAAACGAAAGTGAAGATCAATAAGAAAAAGTAGATAAAACACAAACACAAATAATTAATCATGTAGTTAACTTCATCTACGTGGAAATGATGTATTTCATATTTTATTTAATTATCATATTAGTTGAGTGTATCGTTAATATTTAACGACAGTAACTCATGGTGATCACATCTTAATTAAATAAAAATAAAAATCATCATATATTATAATTTTTGAAACCAGTGAAGAAACTAGACAAAACACAAACATAAATGATCAATTATGTAGTTAACCATAATATTTATCATCCTTTAATAGTTATATAAAATTTAGGATAAATTACGTGTTTAGTATCTTAATTATCACATATGTTCTATTTTGATACTTAAATTTTATTTTTTTCAAAATTATATTTAATATTTAGTTTAAGTATCATAATTTAATAATTATCTTACAATATTTAAAATTAAAATAAAGTATTAGTTCCAAATTTCACGTATATAATGAATAAACTGTGCAGGAACCAGGGGTAATGGCAGCAGAGTTCGCAGAGATTGGAGTAGGAAAAGCAGTGTTGGATAATTTATCGTACCGGGTACCCGACCCACTTCTTTTACCGAAGGGAAATCTGTTCAGACATCCACCGGATGCTCCGGTTGACTTGGCACCATGACTGTCGCAACAAGAAGCTGACTACTACGTTGCCCAGTTCGAGAAAACTGGTACCACCGCTGCTCTCAACTATTATCGCAACTTAAATCGATATATTCTTATAGACACTTTTGCTGACCAAAATAAACATATATTATATATACTACATATTATATATATATATTATAAGTATTATTATTTTATTAATATCACATTTACATCCATTTTATTTTCGCTTCAGGCCTAAGAACGGGGCCCAGAATTATTACAAGGTGCGATCCAGCTGCATGTAACCCAACCCAACCTTGACCCGTTTCCAGAACCCTAGCAAGCAAGCCTCCAGTACCGCAATGAGGGGAATCCGTCCCAGTCGAGGACTCCTTGCCACGCACGCCTCTCCAACAGCCCAAATTCTCCGGCGCTAGGGAAGCACATGAGTCAATCAATAGCAACCGCGAATTCCAAGCAACAGAAGCAAACCAAGAACCATTAGGACTCTATTGTTAATAGGATTCTAAAAATAGTTGGTTTTCTTCAATATAAATACATGTAATCCTCACCATTTGTGGGATACGATTACGAGAGGCAAAACACACACATAATCTACACGATTACTACAAGATTACACACGGAAATTACCCAAGAACACTAGCAAAATTACGAAAAGCAAAGCAAGCATTTTCGTAAAGTTTCTCGAAAGAAAATAAGAAAAGGTATTATTTTTACCTTGTTCATTCGTTTGTCGCCCTTGCATGTTGTTTTTTCTTGAGGTTTGGTCCGAATAAAACTCAAAAAAGAGGTTATTGGCTGATGAATCTAAGGGGGTTTCGATTGCTATATTTTTAGTTATGCACCCCTACGAGGCTTATTTTAAAAAACAAAGTGGTTTTTACGAAAGAGGGGGTCAAGGGCTCTCGAAAAAACTATTTTTTTATGTTTGTCGCCGATGACTGACGGCCGACGTATGGTGGCCGGAATCTGGAAATCCGACCGTGTTCTTCATGGCTCAAGAACACTTGAGAGAAAATGAGAAAGAGGGGGATAATTTTCTATTGGAAATGAGAAATGAAGCTTTTAATTTTTTTTGTTGGCTTTTATAGTTAGCCCATACCCGGTTCCAACCCGCACGCTGACCCGATCCGTAACCTGAGGATCCGCGCATTTTTTATTATTAAAGGGGAAATCCCCATTTGGTCCCCCTATTTTCTTAAAACTTATATCTTAACCCCAAAATTCAAATTTCACACCAATTTTCCTTTTATTTTGGCCCTAAATTTGACTTTCCTTTCAAATTAATCCTTATTATTATTATTATATATAATTATATTTTTTTATTTTTTATTTATTTTTTTCTATTTTTCTATTTATTTTATATTTTTATTACTATTATAGTATACTTTTTTTACTTTATTGTATTGTTTAACATCATTTTTTTGGTCTTTATTATTATTATTATTATTATTATTATTATTATTATTATATATCTTTTATTTTTATGATTATATATTTTATTACCTTTTTTTTTTCATTTTGCATTTGTTTTTTTAGTATTATTATTTTTATCATCATTATGTATATTTTATTATTATTAATATTATATATATATATATATTACCTAACTAATTTTTTTCCCTAACCCTTTTCTTCCTAGGCCCCTTGTTTTCCTACCTTATCTCTTTCATCATATTTTTAAGGTGAATTGATGGCATAGGGCCCTCTTATTTTGTTTTTTTCTTTCCTTATTTTGTTTTTTTCCTTATTTGTTTTCCTTTTGTTTTTCATCACTTATATATATATATATATATATATATATATATATATATTATTCTAACTTATCTTATTTATAAACACTAAATTATGTATATATTTTATTTTCTTTCTTCCATTCCCTTCATTTTGTTTTGTTTTATTTTTATTTTTATTTATTTTATTATTTTGTTTTATTTTTTTTAGTTTATTTATTTTACTTTGTTTTCTTTTATTGTTTTATTTTATTTCATAGCCATTTTCTGGGTTGTATTTGTTTCATTATTTGTGTTTCTTTTATTGTTTAATCTTGTATTTAGCATGGTTATTTCTTTATTTTCGTTAATAAACTTGTTTTCCTTGCATCATTTTATTTTTATTCCTCCTTATTATTATTATTTTTCATGAATTTTAATATGTGTATTTTATCTTTACTTCAATTAATTCCTCATCATATACATTCTTTAAAACATTGTAATTTAACCCTTTTCTGTTTTCTGGTTCAGCCTTTTTATATAACATTTTATCATTTAAGGGTATTTTCGTAAATTCGTTAAAGGTAAGTAATTTGGATCTTTATTTTACCTTTTAATTTAAATTTTCAATTTTCTTAATTAAAGACAACTGGAAACTATGTAGTACCGAAAGGGCAGTTCAAGGGTGCTAACCCTTCCTTGACTGTAACCGACTCCCGAATCCGACACATCTTTGGTAAGACGCAGACCAGGTAAGAAATAAGATATCTGATCAACCCATTTGTTTAAAAATAAATGATCGATGTCGACTCCATACCATTTCCCTAAGTCGAAGCCCAATCCCAGGCCCACCCGAAAGATGGTTCCGACAGCTTGGCGACTCTACTGGAGACACAAGTAAGTGAGTCAGGCTAAGATAATTTCCAGTTGTCTTTTTAACGAAAAGGGTAAGTTTAAATTTTAAGGTAATATTTCGATCCTTATTGCTTACTTTTGATTCTATTTTCGAAGAAATAGTTGTACTAACCGTTTTCTAATGATTTCAGCCTTTAAAGATTTTCATCTAAGGTTTTAAACTCGAGCTCTGAACCCTATTTTAAGTGGGGGTGAAAGCGACGCCTTCGTGTGAATTTATTCACCGTGCGGGCCTAGCAAGTAGCCTTCGAGATTCATATACCTTATATCTTCGTGTGAATTTATTCACCGTGCGGGCATAAGGAAAAGTGTCCTCTCGAGTTTAACTTAGTCCACACAAGCCTATGATGGGTTTATGACTAAGGGTCTGGCAAGACCAAGGGGGCACCGACTAGGAGAACTCGGGTACCGTTTTTAGAACCTAACCCGAGATACGATGGAGAATTAAAGCCTACCCCAAAACCTTATTTCAAACCCTAGGATGTTTTTACCCTAACCATGCTGCTTGATTTTTCTTTTTACCTTTTTTACTCTCATTACTATTTTTCTTATTTTACTAACTTTTTGCTTTCATGTTTGTTTGTTTTATTATCATTTGCATCACTAAAAAAGAGGTGTTGATCCACCAAAAACGTGTTCGTTAAACGTATATAATCTGCATGAATAGACAAAGGGGTTATAATACAAGAGATGAAAAGTTCAAAAGTCCAGCTATGGTCAGAAAAGACTCGAAATGGACCGGGTTTACACCAAACACATCAAAAGTCAACTTTTCCAAAACGAGATGGCGAAAGTTGTAGGGGCAAGACAAGAAAAAGGTTACTGACCTAGAGAGTCCTTCCAAAGACTACGAGAACAATATGGCAAAACCCTAACTAAGCTGGATGACGCTGCTGACAAATTCAAGAAACAAGCAAATGAACTTCACAATGGAGGGCTCCAATGGCGTTTCCATTAAGGAACAGAATCAGCAAAGAGTGAAAGTCAGTGATGCAGTCATTTGAGACTTTTTGGGGCAAGCAACTCGTCACTTGCACGGTTTATCCCGAGGAGCCGGAACAGTTCGACAGGGAATTCGACCAGCGATAGAAAAAAGCTGTAGACGAATCAACCAGTCCAAAGTTGTTCGGGATCTATACCATCAAAATGTTTTTGTCTCTTAAAGATGTTACACTTTTGTCCCCAATAAGGATTATTTATAATAATAGGCACATTTTTTGGATCAATGCCTCGAACATTTCACGCATCATATATTCTTGCATATTATGCATTATTTTTATTTCTTTTCCGTTTTTTTTTATTTCATCCACATTAACTAACGAGAGATGTCTCATAAAAGGGAACAAAGAAGCTTTAAAAGCAAATTGAAGATTACCTGAAGCGTGTCTGAAGATTCACATTGATGAATGAGATACTAACGCGTGTTAGTAAGATCGAGAAAATTCAAGAGCAACTCATAAAAACCCAACAAGAGATGATTGATCAAACAAGAAGATTTCAGGATGGATCCAAATAACAGATGGCCAAGTTAATAGATATGATAAATGTTGTGATCCATGGAGAGAAGCCACTAGTGGATCCCACGAATGCTGGTGCTGAAACTGAAACGATAATGACCAGAGGACCTGTTAAATAGCCAGATATTTCAGGTCCACCCCAAAAACCAAATATGGTTGTAGAAGGTTCTACTGGGCCAACCATGGAAGATAAGCTTTCCCTTGTGAAAGATAAGCTTCACTCAAAGAATAGGGTTATAGAATATGATCGAGTGTTGATCAAGAAAGCCAAGAAGGATCAACCTCTCATGATTAAAGGTTCTATCCCTTTTCAATCATCAAGTCATGACAATCAAAAGTCATTGCCAAGTAGTCTCTCGCCATGGAGACTAGATGAGAAGAAAAAGAAAATCCAGGGCTTTCAGTTCCCCCACTTCCATTTTTCACTGGAAAAACTACATTCTAAAATGCTCATAGTTGGATTGATTACACCTGGATATATCCAGCCATAGTGGCCCCCCGAATAAGAAATGGACCTACAAAGAGATTCCTTGGGTAAACCGAGATGAAACCTCAGTTTGTTCAGTTAAGGTTCCTGGCAACCCTGAGGATCCTTTAGAACAAACAATCCAGAAGTGCAAGGTAGAGATGAAGGTCCAAAACTCGGAAGTCGTCAATTCAACGGAGAATACGCGCGAGGAACATAAGAGGGAAAAGAATGAAAAAGTAAATTTAAGGGCCTCAGTGAATGTAATCTAAGACTGGCCCGTGGGTTTGAGAATTGATGGGGCAGATGTAACCAAGAAAACACCTCAAACTGCTTCAACATGTGATTTCTACGAAAAACCTAAGGCGCAAGAGGATCAGAAAAGAAATCCAAGTAAAAGAGCTTCCATGGATGTAGTCCGAG